TATGCTACTTTTGGAAACTGCTCTATTGTATTAGAATGTTTTTAAATTTTGCACCTAAAAATGCGTAATATTAAAAATTAAGGTATTAATTATGATTATCTTTCTTTAGCTTTGCATGCTGTATGCTACTTTTGGAAACTGCTCTATTGTATTAGAATGTTTTTAAATTTTGCACCTAAAAATGCGTAATATTAAAAATTAAGGTATTAATTATGATTATCTTTCTTTAGCTTTGCATGCTGTATGCTACTTTTGGAAACTGCTCTATTGTATTAGAATGTTTTTAAATTTTGCACCTAAAAATGCGTAATATTAAAAATTAAGGTATTAATTATGATTATCTTTCTTTAGCTTTACATGCTGTATGCTATTTTTGTCTTTGAGACATTCCATGATTTAAGTTAAGAAGCTTTAAAAAAATGCAAAAAAAATGTAATAAAATAAAAAAGAGGATGTTTTATTGTCGTCTGTAAAAAGTGACAAAATTATTATTGTCGTCTAAAAAGGTGACAAATTATTATTGTCGTCTGGAAAAGTAACAAAATTATCATTGTCGTCTAAAAAATAGATTTTTCAAGCATGTTTCGGTACCTAAATAAAGGAAGAACATCAATTCCATCTATGTATATAGTATGCAAACACGCATGATATATGGAGTAGCTCTTTATCTGGCTAAAAATCCTATTATTTGAAAATTCGCATTGTCGTCTAAAACCGCCAGACGACAATAATAATACCCCAATAAAAAATTTTTAGTATCGATAATCTGAAATATGTTGTTTACTTAAACCGCGAGCGAAGCGAGCGGCTAGTTTCGTAATTTCGTACAATCTTTTTCGAATCTGTTCTTTCTAAGCCGCAAGCGAAGCGAGTGGCTTAGTTTCGTAATTTCGTACAATTTTTCGAATCTGTTCTTTTCTTAAGCGCAAGCGAAGCGAGCGGCTTAGTTTCGTAATTTCGTACAATCTTTTTTCGAATTTGTTCTTTTCTTAAGCCGCAAGCGAAGCGAGCGGCTTAGTTTCGTAATTTCGTACAATCTTTTTTCGAATCTGTTCTTTTCTTAAGCCGCAAGCGAAGCGAGTGGCTTAGTTTCGTAATTTCGTACAATCTTTTTTCGAATCTGTTCTTTTCTTAAGCCGCTCGCTTCGCTTGCGCTTAGTTTCGTAATTTCGTACAATCTTTTTTCGAATCTGTTCTTTTCTTAAGCCGCAAGCGAAGCGAGTGGCTTAGTTTCGTAATTTCGTACAATCTTTTTTCGAATCTGTTCTTTTCTTAAGCCGCAAGCGAAGCGAGTGGCTTAGTTTCGTAATTTCGTACAATCTTTTTTCGAATCTGTTCTTTTCTTAAGCCGCAAGCGAAGCGAGTGGCTTAGTTTCGTAATTTCGTACAATCTTTTTTCGAATCTGTTCTTTTCTTAAGCCGCTCGCTTCGCTTGCGGCTTAGTTTCGTAATTTCGTACAATCTTTTTTCGAATCTGTTCTTTTCTTAAGCCGCGAGCGAAGCGAGTGGCTTAGTTTCGTAATTTCGTACAATCTTTTTTCGAATCTGTTCTTTTCTTAAGCCGCAAGCGAAGCGAGTGGCTTAGTTTCGTAATTTCGTACAATCTTTTTTCGAATCTGTTCTTTTCTTAAGCCGCAAGCGAAGCGAGTGGCTTAGTTTCGTAATTTCGTACAATCTTTTTTCGAATCTGTTCTTTTCTTAAGCCGCAAGCGAAGCGAGTGGCTTAGTTTCGTAATTTCGTACAATCTTTTTTCGAATCTGTTCTTTTCTTAAGCCGCAAGCGAAGCGAGCGGGCTAGTTTCGTAATTTCGTACAATCTTTTTTCGAATCTGTTCTTTTCTTAAGCCGCTCGCTTCGCTGCGGCTTAGTTTCGTAATTTCGTACAATCTTTTTTCGAATTTGTTCTTTTCTTAAGCCGCAAGCGAAGCGAGTGCTTAGTTTCGTAATTTCGTACAATCTTTTTTCGAATCTGTTCTTTTCTTAAGCCGCAAGCGAAGCGAGGCTTAGTTTCGTAATTTCGTACAATCTTTTTTCGAATCTGTTCTTTTCTTAAGCCGCAAGCGAAGCGAGTGGCTTAGTTTCGTAATTTCGTACAATCTTTTTTCGAATCTGTTCTTTTCTTAAGCCGCAAGCGAAGCGAGTGGCTTAGTTTCGTAATTTCGTACAATCTTTTTTCGAATCTGTTCTTTTCTTAAGCCGCTCGCTTCGCTTGCGGCTTAGTTTCGTAATTTCGTACAATCTTTTTTCGAATCTGTTCTTTTCTTAAGCCGCGAGCGAAGCGAGTGGCTTAGTTTCGTAATTTCGTACAATCTTTTTTCGAATCTGTTCTTTTCTTAAGCCGCAAGCGAAGCGAGTGGCTTAGTTTCGTAATTTCGTACAATCTTTTTTCGAATCTGTTCTTTTCTTAAGCCGCAAGCGAAGCGAGTGGCTTAGTTTCGTAATTTCGTACAATCTTTTTCGAATCTGTTCTTTTCTTAAGCCGCAAGCGAAGCGAGTGGCTTAGTTTCGTAATTTCGTACAATCTTTTTTCGAATCTGTTCTTTTCTTAAGCCGCTCGCTTCGCTTGCGGCTTAGTTTCGTAATTTCGTACAATCTTTTTTCGAATCTGTTCTTTTCTTAAGCCGCGAGCGAAGCGAGTGGCTTAGTTTCGTAATTTCGTACAATCTTTTTTCGAATCTGTTCTTTTCTTAAGCCGCGAGCGAAGCGAGTGGCTTAGTTTCGTAATTTCGTACAATCTTTTTTCGAATCTGTTCTTTTCTTAAGCCGCAAGCGAAGCGAGTGGCTTAGTTTCGTAATTTCGTACAATCTTTTTTCGAATCTGTTCTTTTCTTAAGCCGCAAGCGAAGCGAGTGGCTTAGTTTCGTAATTTCGTACAATCTTTTTTCGAATCTGTTCTTTTCTTAAGCCGCAAGCGAAGCGAGCGGCTTAGTTTCGTAATTTCGTACAATCTTTTTTCGAATCTGTTCTTTTCTTAAGCCGCTCGCTTCGCTTGCGGCTTAGTTTCGTAATTTCGTACAATCTTTTTTCGAATTTGTTCTTTTCTTAAGCCGCAAGCGAAGCGAGTGGCTTAGTTTCGTAATTTCGTACAATCTTTTTTCGAATCTGTTCTTTTCTTAAGCCGCAAGCGAAGCGAGTGGCTTAGTTTCGTAATTTCGTACAATCTTTTTTCGAATCTGTTCTTTTCTTAAGCCGCTCGCTTCGCTTGCGGCTTAGTTTCGTAATTTCGTACAATCTTTTTTCGAATCTGTTCTTTTCTTAAGCCGCAAGCGAAGCGAGCGGCTTAGTTTCGTAATTTCGTACAATCTTTTTTCGAATCTGTTCTTTTCTTAAGCCGCAAGCGAAGCGAGTGGCTTAGTTTCGTAATTTCGTACAATCTTTTTTCGAATCTGTTCTTTTCTTAAGCCGCAAGCGAAGCGAGTGGCTTAGTTTCGTAATTTCGTACAATCTTTTTTCGAATCTGTTCTTTTCTTAAGCCGCTCGCTTCGCTTGCGGCTTAGTTTCGTAATTTCATACAATCTTTTTTCGAATCTGTTCTTTTCTTAAGCCGCAAGCGAAGCGAGTGGCTTAGTTTCGTAATTTCGTACAATCTTTTTTCGAATCTGTTCTTTTCTTAAGCCGCTCGCTTCGCTTGCGGCTTAGTTTCGTAATTTCGTACAATCTTTTTTCGAATCTGTTCTTTTCTTAAGCCGCTCGCTTCGCTTGCGGCTTAGTTTCGTAATTTCGTACAATCTTTTTTCGAATCTGTTCTTTTCTTAAGCCGCAAGCGAAGCGAGTGGCTTAGTTTCGTAATTTCGTACAATCTTTTTTCGAATCTGTTCTTTTCTTAAGCCGCAAGCGAAGCGAGTGGCTTAGTTTCGTAATTTCGTACAATCTTTTTTCGAATCTGTTCTTTTCTTAAGCCGCAAGCGAAGCGAGTGGCTTAGTTTCGTAATTTCGTACAATCTTTTTTCGAATCTGTTCTTTTCTTAAGCCGCGAGCGAAGCGAGTGGCTTAGTTTCGTAATTTCGTACAATCTTTTTTCGAATCTGTTCTTTTCTTAAGCCGCTCGCTTCGCTTGCGGCTTAGTTTCGTAATTTCGTACAATCTTTTTTCGAATCTGTTCTTTTCTTAAGCCGCAAGCGAAGCGAGTGGCTTAGTTTCGTAATTTCGTACAATCTTTTTTCGAATCTGTTCTTTTCTTAAGCCGCGAGCGAAGCGAGTGGCTTAGTTTCGTAATTTCGTACAATCTTTTTTCGAATCTGTTCTTTTCTTAAGCCGCTCGCTTCGCTTGCGGCTTAGTTTCGTAATTTCGTACAATCTTTTTTCGAATCTGTTCTTTTCTTAAGCCGCAAGCGAAGCGAGTGGCTTAGTTTCGTAATTTCGTACAATCTTTTTTCGAATCTGTTCTTTTCTTAAGCCGCAAGCGAAGCGAGTGGCTTAGTTTCGTAATTTCGTACAATCTTTTTTCGAATCTGTTCTTTTCTTAAGCCGCAAGCGAAGCGAGTGGCTTAGTTTCGTAATTTCGTACAATCTTTTTTCGAATCTGTTCTTTTCTTAAGCCGCGAGCGAAGCGAGTGGCTTAGTTTCGTAATTTCGTACAATCTTTTTTCGAATCTGTTCTTTTTGTCAACCGCGAGCAAAGCGAGTGGCTTTTTATTTTTAAAAAAATTTTTTTTCTTTCTTACTTTTTTTTTCCCTTACTTACAAATTTGATAGTAACTTACCAAATCTCTCTATCATATAATAATAAATTAATCCATTTTTTGTTTCAAATCTGGCACTTTACATTTCTGACATGTAAACTTATCACTTTTCACTTCACCTCACTGGGCAAGTTTGTGCCCCCCTCCAAATATAACCATTTTTTACTATAATCTTAATAAATTTTAAAATCATCAAATGAATAAGAGAATAACTAATGTGATGCTTTCTTTAATGCTTAGACTCATTAAACATAGGATGATTTTGAAGGGGAAAAAAATATTGATCTTAAATTTTTTATATTAAGGATTAAAACATATTTATTTAGAGTAAATTAAAATAAAAATTAGAAGGGAAATAATATGACCTTGAGAAAATGGATATTGAGCTTTACATGTGAGAAAGATAGCTTCATCAAAGAGTGTTATTCTTATAAAGCCGTGTCCTTGATGGCCAGTCTCGTAATATTTATCATTATCAAGATCTTCATTGCGATCTATATTGGATCTGATTTGTTTGTGAATCCATGGAAGTGGAATCTTACCTTGCCCACCAATCATTAATGTATTAAAGAATGATAAATTGCTATAATGAATTGGTTGGCCAGTGTGAATTATATTTTCAAAAGATGATGATTCATTAGATATCGCATCACAACCTGGATGTCCAGAAATGAATGATGAACCTCCTGTAGATCCACCACCTCTCCACGTAGAACATCCTGCATAATATCCATTACCACCTGTACCTCCCCAATTTTGAGACTTATTAGCAATATATCCCGCAATTCCAAATGTTCCTGGAAAACACATATCCTTATAATATGGTCCGTTATATCCTTGGGAACCAGGTGATGTTTGATTGGCACCATTAAATGTAAAAGCGATACTGCCAGAAGCTTCAGTGTGACAATAGTATGTAGATGTATTAATAGAAAATAAACCTCCTGCATATGCTGGTGTGGAATAATAGTATTCCCATGAACCTCCTGAAGCAGAAACAATAATACGACTTTTCAGAGATTCAAAATCATAAAACAGGCCATCAACTAAACGAATATCAGTAGATCCTCCAGCACCATATCCTGAAGTAATTGTTGCATTTGGAGGAACACTATTATAAAATCCCATACTTGGACCAATATAAAGAAAAACTTTCAATAATTTTCGAACGTAGATGAAACCTCTTGCATATGCGCCAGGCTGTTCGTTTCGACCTCATGGGTAAGAGGAAATTGGTGCTTGAAGTTCCCCCTCAATACAAGCAGGGAAGATCATCTTCTCAATGCGCTGCAGTTTTTAACTGAATTGTTTTATTATTTTGTTTGTTTATTATTTAAAATTTTGATATATGAAAGAAATTTTTCTCTAAACCTAAGAATAAATTTGGTATTTTTTTCATAATCGAATTTATTAATGTTGCATGCTAAGTTCGGTCAACGATAGAAATTGAGGGGAAATTAATCGTCGAGGAAGTACGATTATGTAAAGTAAAAAATGTTGTGGGATTTTTAATATTGTATATAATTTTATAATAAAATTTTTGTGAGACATTTTAAGAAGCACATATAATTTTTTGAATTTAAAAATTAAAGTAGTGTTGAATGAATTTATTGATTAATTTAATACGGATATTTCTCAAAATTAATCAAAAATAGGTTTTCAGAGAACTTTTGAGATATCTTTTCAAAATGTCTTTTTGAAAATATATAAGTATTATATCAAATTGAAAAAAGGTATTTATCAAAATTCTAAATTCTTAATAAAAAATAACTTTTCAGAGGATTGTGATTTTGAAAGCATGAGTAATAAGTAAAAAATATCTACGATTTTAATGAGGGAATTGTTCCTTATGAGGTATACATTATAACTATATACCTCATAAGGAACAATTCCCTCTTGATAGCTGGGAAACTTTCTCTGAATAACTTATCATTTGGAGAAAGTTTCCCAGCTATCTATTAGAAACTAAAGGCTGTGAGGCACTAATATATAATCAGTGCCTCATAGCCTTTAGTTTCTTATTAAAAACGAGAAAACTTGTTCGAAATGATAAACAATTCGAACAAGTTTTCGTTTTAAGGAGGGAATTGTTCCTTATGAGGTATACAGTATGAATATATACCTCATAAGGAACAATTCCCTCTTGATAGCTGGGAAACTTTCTCTGAATAACTTATCATTTGAACAGAAAAGTGACACTTTACATGGCAAAAAATAGAGCCTTACTTTTGAGATACTTGAGATTGAAACTGAATCTTATGAGGCGGTGATCTTGAATCACTACCTCATAAGGTTCAGTTTCATATAAAATTTGTTGCAATTTGTTATTCTTTTGCAATTATTTCTTATAAGATTTTACATCTTTTAGCGGGGAATGTTTGTTATCATGTATATATTATAAATCTACACGATAACGAACATTCCTCGCTAAATTGCTGAGAAACTTTGAGGAAATGTCGAACAATTTCCTCAAAGTTTCTCAGATTTATATAGATCACTAGAGTCCCCTAGGCACTGATTCTGGTTCAGTACCTAGGAGGCTCTAGTTCTCTAACGAACTGATAAAATGTTTTTAAATTTTTGGATATTGCTACCTGTGAAGCACTGACTTCAAGTCAGTACCTCACAGGTAGCAATTACATTGAAAGATGGGAGAAACTTTGTCCGAATGTTAAACTATTCGGACAAAGTTTCTCACATTTGTAGTGGAGATGGAAGGCTTTGAGGTATATTGTATTAATATATACCCCAAAGCCTTCCATCTCCACTTGAAAGTGTCCAAACTTTGGGTTAATACTTTGCAATTAACCCAAAGTTTGGACACTTTCTAGGAGGAATTGGAGGTAAGAGATATACATTCATATGGTATATCTCTTACCCTCCAATTCCTTCTTAAAATGGGAGAAACTTTGTCCGAATGTTAAACTATTCGGACAAAGTTTCTCCCATTTTTTGAAGGAATTGGAGGCTATGAGATACTGATGCAATGTCAGTAACTCATGGCTTCCAATTCCTTCCTAAAACTCATAAAAGTGGACATTACATGCATATAAAATTTGACATGTAAAGTCCACTTTTTGTGAGCGGGGATTTAACTCCGTCAAATCCCCTTTTTCGTTTACGAGAAAGCCAAATTCTCTCAAAAAGTTAAGTAGGACCAATTTTTTATAAAAAAATCCAATTTCATTATGAATGTTAATTAATTTATATAATTATTGAATAAAAAATTTTCTTTGAGATTATGAAAAGTTCTTTGAAAAGTTATTTTTTCTCATTTTTAAATATTGTATTAGCCTATTTATTTATAATCCAAATTAAATAACTTTAAATTCAATATTTAAAGAATAATTTTGAAGGAATTGAGTTACTTCCCCCGACGATAAAATTGAGAGGTTTACATTTTGACCGAACTTAGCATGCAACATTAATACTCAGATTTCTTAAAATTAATGAAAAAAAGGTTTTCTGAGAACTTTTGAGAATGGTTTTCAAATTCCATTATTGAAAATATATAGGTATTGTATGAAATTCAAACTCTATATTTATTAAAATTCTAAATTTTTAATAAAATAACTTTTCAGAGGAATATGATTTTGAATGGTTGATTAATAAGTATAAAAATGTCTACGATTTTAAGGAGGGAATTGTTCCTTATGAGGTATACATCATAACTATATACCTCATAAGGAACAATTCCCTCTTGATAGCTGGGAAACTTTCTCTGAATAACTTATCATTTGGAGAAAGTTTCCCAGCTATCTATTAGAAACTAAAGGCTGTGAGGCACTAATATATAATCAGTGCCTCATAGCCTTTAGTTTCTTATTAAAAACGAGAAAACTTGTTCGAAATGATAAACAATTTCGAACAAGTTTTCTCGTTTTAAGGAGGGAATTGTTCCTTATGAGGTATACATCATAACTATATACCTCATAAGGAACAATTCCCTCTTGATATCCTGGATATTTTTGAATATATTTTTTTAATTAAAGTTCTCAAAAGTATTATCAAAAGTGATTTTTTAAAATATCTCCAATTAATTAACTAATTAAAAGTATTATATTTTTAAAATTAAATAGTTTTTCAATTTTTTTGAAGGAATTGAGATACTTCCCACGACAATAAAATTGAGAGGTTTACATTATGACTGATCTTAGCATGCAACATTAAAACCTTCCATATGACTTATGATCGCATTTAAAATCATTGGTTATAGTATGATTTTCAATGAAAAAAAAAACAAAATCAATTTTTATTTAACTGAAAGAAAGTAAGGTAACGTAAGTATTTACATTAAACATCGGAGTGTTTACGCATGATTGATCTGAGAAGGTTTGAATCCTTTAATTTATAAAGATATTTTGTAAATTTCTTTTAAAGAATAACAAACGATCAAAATTATCATCTTTCTGATGCTTCATGCAATTTCATATTTAAAAGTTTAAATAATTATTGTAATAATAAAACAATTGAAAATTTTCGATTAATCATTCGTTTTTCTGAGATTTAATAGTGTAGACGTAACAGGAACGCAAATTACTTCGTCATCTCTAAATAAAAGGACACATTCTTGATTTTTTGACGCTGAATTATTCTTATAATCAGTTAAATTGCCTTGAAATGTAGCCTCTTCGCCATTCTTAAGTGTATGATAAATATATCCAACATCAGGTTTCTCAGAATCTCTTACAAATTTTCGAGAAACAGTTCCTTCGCCTTGCATTGACTGAGGAATATGCGAATACTTTACACGCATGTATGTATCTTCGCTTTGGTCAATTCTGAATGGAACTGGTTCTTTATAACTTACTTTTTTAGACATATAATACTAAAAAGTGACAACTACTCACTTCGCTTTCCAAAAATGAAGGAAGACACTGTTCTCAGATATATTTTATTCGGTAAGGTTCATCACATCCATCTTCCACTATGAGGTGATGGTTTTGAATACAAAAAAGGGAATTTTATCAAAATTTTCTCAAGGCATAAAAATGATCAAATTTTACTATATAATCTGTAATGTGGGTGTATGAAGTTGACATTTTAATCCATAACAAACAAATATTTTCTATATTTAAACTGCAAATTAAATTAACAGCAGGAACTTGAATTCGAATGCTCAGAACTAGCAAGAGAGTAGTAATTTGAATCTTCCCTAAGGCCTGCATGGCTATTTTTAACAAGACTTCCAACTTCTTGGAATAATAAATCAACATTTTCTCCTGATTTCGCGGAAGTGAATATACATGACATCTTATTTTTATCAGCCCATCCAAGTAATGGTGTAGGATCGTAATCTGGAACGAGATCTTTTTTATTGCCTGCTAAAACTAAGCAGATGTCTTGTGGCAAAATATCTTTAAAGTTTTCAAACAAAACATTAAGATTTGATACTGCGTCTTTTTGAGAAATGTCTACAACGATGATGCAAGCCTGTGCACTTCGAAGATAAAGTGGAATGAGTGATTGAAATCTTTCTTGCCCAGCTGTATCCCATATATTGAGGCAGATAGGCGAGTTGGCAATCACAACATCCACTTTTACATAGGCTGCTCCAATTGTAGTGGCGGCGCCTTCAGTAAAGACACCGTCTGAGAATCTTTTAACAAGAGAGGTCTTGCCGACACCAGAATCGCCAACTGTTACTACTTTAAATTCTGGTATGTCGGAATCCATTTTTCTCTAAAATTTTCTATCGTTCAATTTTATCCAGGTTCAGAAGATTTTGAGAGCGATCATCGGTTAATAAACATCAAGGTTCTTGAAAATATCATAATTATTAAAAATATTTAAGCCTGTCAAAAACATCAGTTTTATCTTCAGTCCATTCAAAAGTGATAGCCACGAATGGCATTTGGTAGAGTTCGAGTGATTGGGTATATGTCATAAAATCCTTACTTTCCGTAGTCAAGGGGTTCAGTAGTGAGTAAGATCCAACATTTTTTTTCAAAAAGTAGTGATTAACTATTCATTACATGGAATTACGTAGAAAAGTGTGAATCATGGAAGGAAATTCACAGATTTTAAGTTTTTGGATTTAAATAAATTTGAAAATATGAAATTAAGCATCAAATGAAGAAAATTAAGTTGAAAATATGATTTTTGTGTAATTTAAGACAACTTCAAAATTCCAAAATTTTCGTATTTTTATAATTTTAATGAAAAATTCTACAAATTCATTTTAAATTTTGATTTTTGAAATTTTTTTGGAAAATTTAAGTTCATTTTTTGACCAGAAAAATGGGTTAATTCGTTTAACATATCAATGGAAATTATATTTAGTCCATTTATATTGAAATTAATTTTCTGGACTAATTTATCTATGAAAAAATCAATTTCAGTGATTCACATATATAAAAATAGCTTTGTTTGAGACTATTATTCCTTATTCTTGAAGCATGATTCTTCATTTTTATTCTTGCAAAATGTCTGAGGATTTCAAACTTTTTGAAGTCAGATTTGATGATGAGGGTATTAAGACACCGACATCAAAAAGGTTCTAATTGGAAAGGAATTACTTTTGAAAAAAAGACATTATACATTAATCACTCGTATGATCGAGGGCATAATTCCAGGCGGAACAAAGAAAGAACAACAAAGCATTTGGTTCCCTTTTTATACTATTTCAGCCTTACAAATTTTAGAATATCCGCAAGGTGAAAAATTCGATGAATTTAAAGCCAAATATACTAACTTCCTCAAAGACAGAATCCTTGAAGATGGAGGATTCTCAGGATATAAACAAGATTTTACAAATACGATTTCATTATACGGAGTAATAATAGGAATTATGGCAATTGGAACTGAAGAAGCATATAAACTTATCGATAGAAAGAAAATTTACGATTTATTGATTTCTCTTAAGCAGCCAGATGGCTCTTTTCTCGTTTCAATAGATGGAGAAAGCGATATCCGATCTACGGAAGTTGCAATTGTAATTTCGAAGTATTTAAACATTCTTGATGACAAAATATCCGAAAAAACAGCAGATTTCGTTCTTTCATGCCAAAACTACGATGGAGGGTTCTCTCCAGTACCACATTGCGAGTCTCATGGAGGATACATTTACTGTGGCATTGCATGCCTTGCAATACTAAACAGATTAGAAGATATCAACTTAAGTTCTTGTATACGCTACTTATCTTCAAGACAAAGCGAATTTGCAGGTGGATTCAACGGAAGGACAAACAAACTCGTTGATACATGCTACACATTTTGGATTGGAGCAACAATGAGAATTATTTGCGATCATTTCAAAATCCCTGAGTTCTGGGATAAAAACTCCTTGACACAATACTGTTTATGCGCATGCCAGTTCCTTTTCGGAGGTTTTTGCGATCATCCACCTTCACAAGCTGATCCTTTCCATACTATCTACACTTTGGCTGGAATTGGTGTTGCAGGAGACCGTGAAAAATATGAAATACCAGCTGTTGATCCGTTTTCTGGAGTTCCTCAAGAATTATCTCAAAAATTCCTAAATTACTTCTTGAATCTACAAAACTGATTCATAATAAAGGTTGTTTGTATGCTATCTATTAATTTCAATCACTTATTTCCTTCAATTAGCTAATTCAGAATATATTTTCCAAATTGAAACTCAATTTCAGAGCGAATGAACTGATATATTCTTTTCCTCAACGTCAATATCAATTATATTGTATACAAAATGTCAATCCTTTTCGATTTTTTCATTTTCAAAATTTTTTCTTAGAATCATCTCCCAAATAACTCACATTCTCATTTTAATCAACAAGAATGATAATTGAAACAGGAAGATTGATATATTGCAACAAATAAGATATTATTTCAAATTCATTATCAGAATTATTTTAAAGTATATCAATAGTAGCATCTCAATTTAATTAATGATACTATTTATCTAATTTTTATTCCTCAGTGAGAATATTAACTTAATCGGAACGGTGGTGCCAGTTCTTTCTCTTTTCAGACTCTACCATATGCATAGCCTGGACTGGGCAGACAGAGTGGCAAAGTGCGCAGCCAATGCACTCATCGTGGTTGACCTTCCACTTGCCGTCAACAAGGTGGATAGCCTCGACAGAGTTATCGCGGCAGGAGAGAGCGCACTTACCGCATTGTAAGCATGTTGCATCATCAATTTCAGCGTGAAGTGTCCAGTTGATATCGAAGGACTCACGTTGGACAACACGCTTGGCACCTAAGCCGCGGAGTTCGGCAAGTGTTGGGATCTTGCGGTCCTGCTTTGTATCCTCTGGGATTGGAACCTGGATTGGGAGTGTCTTCATCTCTGTGTAGTGTGAAAGCTTGGCGCGGAGATCTGGGCGGCTCCATGAGTAAAGATAGAACTGGAGGCCGGCGTTGACTTCGCGGACGATATCGTATGAGTATCTCTGGATGGCAGAGCACATCTGGAAGACAGATGAACCGGCGTAGAGGTGCTGGAGAGCTGTGTAGCCAGAGCCAATACCACCGATACCGAGGATTGGCATCTCTGGGAACTTGTTGTGGACACGAGAGATCTGGCGGAGGGCGATTGGGCGAACCTGGTCACCGGAAAGACCACCAGAAAGGACGTATTTCTCCTTGCCAACCTGTGGGAGTGGTGTGCCATCTGGCCAGAACTTGGCAATGCCGGAGACTGTGTTGATCATAGCAACACCATCAGCGCCACCTTCGAGAGCTGCCTGAGCAATGTCGATTGGGTCTGTGATGTTTGGTGTGAGCTTGACGAAGAACGGAACTGTTGTTGCCTCCTTGACGTACTGGGAAATACGCTTGACAGAGATTGGGTGTGTGCCGAGAGCCATACCGATCTTGTTCTCTGTGTCGAAGCCACCCTTGCAGCCACCTTCTCCGTGAACTTCGTTAGGGCAGGAAAGGTTGAGTTCGAGGGCATCAGCACCAGCAGCGATGACATTCTTGACAAGGTTCTGCCATCTTTCCTTGGAATCTGATGTAGCGATGGAAGCGACGAGAACGCGGTCTGGGAACTCAGCCTTGAGCTTCTTGATTGTGTCGAGCCAGTACTCCTCTGTGTGCTCTGTCATCATGCAGATGTTGCAGAATGAGCCAGATGGGCCTGGGTTCTCATCAGCCTTGACAATTCTGAAGTCGTTCTCACGGATGACATCCTTTGTTGGAAGGATTGTCTTTGTGACAGCCCAACCCATACCAGCCTTGAAGCAGTTGCGGATGCACTCGTATGTGCCAGAGACTGGAGCGGATGAGATACCAGATGGGTTCTTGAACTTCATGCCGCAGAACTCTGTTTCGAGAGAAACATGGTCGACTTCTGTCTCGAAGCATGGGATCTCGCGCTTCTCGCCGAGGTAGTCAGCGATCATGCGGGCAGCTGTTCTGGCATCGTTGACAGCTTCGACAACTGTGAGTGACTGAGCGAGGTCACCACGACGACGAAGAGCATGTCTTGGCCATCGACCTTCTGGACGTTGATCTTGCCTGGGATGAGGTTGGCGTGCTTGCCAATTCTTGCACCGAAAGCAAGGATAACTGTATCGAACTTGCGTGTGATGAATTCGTCTAAGCCGCGGTACTGGCCGTTGTTGTTCTCCTGAAGACGGAATGTAACTGTGCCGTTATCGATGGCTGTTGGCTGAACAAGGGAAAGGAATTCGACGCCTTGTTCAAGAGCTCGTGTAATTCGGCTGGGTGAGCGCGCATGCCCTTGAAGTCTTTACGGAAGGCAACTGTGACGTTACCACCGAGGCGGGAGGCAGCGGAAGCGCAGTCCATAGCTGTATCACCAGCACCGAGGACGCAGACCTTCTTGCCTGTGAAGTCTGGGAGCTTCTCACCGTTCTTGAGCTTGAGGACGCC